TGTATATATATATATATATATATATATATTTATCTGAGTCTTTTACATCCCTATCACTCCTAACTCTTCAAATATGGACTCTTGGTCAGGGTCCCTCTGCTTCACTTATAACACGCCGGGTACCCCTCTCGCGTCATGAATTAACTTGCAGGGTCCTCTCATTGAATACTATAGAGCACCCTAAACATTGGTAATTGATGACAACAGCCTGCTGCAGAAGAGCCTGTTGTCCCTATATTTATAGATTTCCGAAATCACATTGTAGTGACGTATACTGAACACAACAAATTATATAATGTAAACAACTACCTGAGAGAAACAGCAGATACAGCAGATGAATTAATTATAGGTTATTACTTTTGCATCAGTTGTTGCATTGATGGAGGGAGTGATGTATGCTGGAAGTAGGAGTTTTGGAGTGAAATGTTTCGTGTTTCATGCAATGCTCAGAAATCTTTTCCTTTTTTTTTTACTTTGTTACAGACACGTCTTCCTGCAGCTGTTAGCAGCACTTCAAATGAGCCATATTGCTCAAAGGGGCACAACTGTTGTTTCTTGTTTTTGCACTCAGGAAAAATGCTGCTGTGTTCAGACAACAAATACAGAGTTTTGCACATCATTACCCAACTGTGACTTAGTGTTCTATCGAAATTTAAACCGAATCAAGGCAGGAGATCAGGCAGAGTATAAGAGAGCCCGCTACGAACTGCAGAAGTCCATCAGAGCAGCAAAGCGGGCCCACTCACAACAATTTGAAGGCTACTACCTCAACAACAACACGCACAGGGAATTAAAGCTGTCGCAAACTACAAGGGAACCACAACAACCACAGACCCCTGAGACACCACCCTTCCAGACAGTGGCGGTCCTAGCCTGTTTGGCGCCCTGGGCGAACACTCCCTCTGGCGCCTCCTCCCACACACACACACACACAAAACATATTAAGGATTGTACATTAACATAAAACTGTTGTACACACACACGCATATGAAGAGAGAGAGAGTATGCATAGTATGCAAACAGCTACTATCAGCCATAGTAGCCGTTTGCTGTCAATTAGACAGCAGTCTTTACTCTAATTATTAGAGTAAAGACTGCGAGCCGCGCCCTCTCATTCAACGTCAGTGTCTGACCTCACAAATGTGCTTCTGGAAGACTGGTGAAAAAACACACTCCTAAACCTTTATTAAAGCCTTCTCAGAAGAGCTGAAGCTGTTATGGCTGCAAAGGGTGAGTGGATGTCATATTTAACCCTATGGAAAAAGAATAGGATGCCACTTAAGTTCATATGGCTGTAGACAAAGTATATCCACACTCTAACACAAGTTTCTATAAACTCTGCTGAGTAACTCTGTGGTGTGCTTCTTCCTCCTGCGCTTCCTGACTCTAACCTTTTACATTTTTATACAATCCCAGCAGTCTGTTGTGGTACATGAGTTCCTCCTACTCTACATTTACCTAATAAAAAGAACATATTTCTATTGAGCGGTTTTTATTTGCTGTGTTAAGACAGAATACAAACTCCTCAACCTTTGCATTTATTTACTTTTTACAGGACACTAATTATTTTACATACCGACATCAAGAATTATGTGATATCTTTTGGTATAAAAAGTGAAAACAATGCAAAAACACCTAAATGTGGGGACCCTACTGCTCACATAGAATGTAATAAAATGCCTATTTAAATATTGCTATATGAGTAAACACACAATGTGACAGACCACAAGTCTTTGCTGTCACTTTTGTTTGTGCTGCATGTGTTGGCTCATGTAGAAGTACAGTTATACAGAAGAGTGGCAAAATTTATTGCCCAACAATGTGACAGACTGATAAATTTAAACAAACTCGTCCTTTCAAGGTAAAGCTGCTAAAGGTGGTTCTACAAGCTACTGAATCAGAATCACAGGGTGTATTTAGGTTGCTTTTATAATGTACTTATCCCTCCTGATAGTTTTTTTTCTTTTTACTAGTTCTGCTTTTGGTTAGTGTCCTCGTCGCTCTGGCTGGAGTGAGACGTTACTTTACGCTCATCGGCATTGCACAGGTAGTCAAACATCTCTAGGATGACACATCTGTACATGCCATCACGAGATCCAAGCGTAGTTTCAAGGCAGCACAATGTCTTCCACCAATCACCCCCCACCCCTCGTAGCAGATGACTACCCCTGCTTGAGCCTGGTTACGCGGGAGGTTTCTTCCTTTTAAAAGATATTTTTTCCTTCCCGTTGTCTCATAGAAGGTCATCGGATTGTTAGGGTTTTCAATAAGAGGCACCCTGTGAAGCAACAGTTGAAGTTGATGTGAGATATGGATGATGCAGAAAGATATTAATTTGCAGGATATTAGCAAGATCATTTTTCCAATGACTAAAGGAGACCAAAAAAAACCCTAAATTTGGCAACATCTGCCGTTGCTGTTTTGCTTACAATATTTGGATTGCACCGTCCAAGGCAGTCAGAACCAGGAGAGTCTATTTATGGAGCAACACCGGCCCACCCATACCAATGCCCGCCACTTAGTGTGTTGGCCGCTGTCACACTGCCAGCCAGTCTCCACTCACGACAATGCGTGCCCTCACGAAGGACTGGCAATATTTTCATGGCCCAAGAGCTGACAATAGAATATGTGCATCAACGTTCACACATGCACATGCATGCGTGTGTGCATGTTCACATATACACGCATGCTTGTGAACATGCACACATTTACCCTTGTGGGCATGAGTATGCACAGCATGCCTCCCGTTGGAGGGTTTAGATTAGCTGATTGCATCATTGAGTAACAACTAACCGTTGAAGGAAAGGGAATGACACAAAAACTTCTTGTATTCAGAAACTGTGTTCAACTCGATTCTTGGCTGAAGGCTTTCTAGCAGTTGACTCTTTTATATCATTCCTCCATTAAAAAGCAGACTAGAAAACCATAGCAGAAGCAATACCCTGTAGCTCAGTAGTTTCTATGTTAATGTTATTTCCTGGATGACTATTAAGCAACCTAACATCCAAATGTTATTTTAGGCACTACAGAAAATGTGATCGGATTAGTTCTTCACAGTTTGTATTCATTATAACTGTGATAAAGTTCATAGTGCATATTCATTGTTGAGATGAGGAATTTCCAGAGATACATCTGCAATGCAGCATGTACTTCTATCAGTGCTAAACAGTCATTCATGTAGCTGCCCACTTGGAATTACCACTCATGATGCAGAGAGCTTCGACTGATGCAACTTTATTCTCTCCTCTTTTAAACCACCGACAATATGGCACCGTGAAAACTATAAGGATGCACAAACAAATGTCATTAGAACATTTTAGTAGAAATGAAGAAATTCACATTTTACATCATAGAAAATGATTTGTTGAACTCAAATCATGACATTAACATAAATCAGCACCTTTAAACAATTTATGTCACAGCATTTAACAAATTAAAATAAAGACAACCTGTGTCTTAAATAAAATAAACAATCGTTTGCAATCATTACACAAACTTCTGCTTCCAAGGGTGCTAATCATGCTGGACCTGCTAGCAGCCTCCTCATCTCTTTGCCAGTCTTTCCACACCACAAACAAATGACATGCATGTACAAAACAAAAAGCAATTCAAGCACATTGTATAAACGTTCCCAAGTTATAGCATGTGACAGGTAAATAAAGTACATGGTTTTACATGAATATTTCCAAAAATAAAGGTTGTTCACTCACTCTGAAGCAACGTGTTTGTGTCCTTTCACTGAGAACAGAACAGGAAGTCGGGCACAATAAAAGAGGAAGTGCTAAGGTACTCTTAAAAATAAAAGCGCAGGGTAAAGTGGCCTTGCCGGTGTTGTGCCAAAAACTGATTGCTTGTATTTAAACTACTATAAATAACTTGCTGGTCTATAATATGTGAAACATGTGTCAAATGTATCCCTCATGAATGACATAAAGTCATCTTGAGCAAAAAAAACCATTCCTGTAACAAGGCAGAAGCCGCAATCAGTTTTTGGCAGTGACTTTATGTATCCTTTATTTATGTCTGTGAAGGTTCTCAGTGGTGCACATAAAAGTCAACAATAAAAAAGTTATTGTTGACTTTAAATCTGGCCAAGAGGACAGCTGAAATTGCAACAAATGCAAAAATAGTTATGTAAACATATTTTAAGTGGACAATAGGGAGCTGATTGATTATAATGTAAGTACAATAACACAGTTACAAAGATACTTGAGAAACAGGTAATTTTTTTAAATTTTATAAATAACCTGTTGTAATACCTGTTCACCAAAGTCTATTTACCAGCATACGTTACGATATTACACATAAAAAACACACGGAAACATTGGAAATCACTTTTTGGCACAACACCGACATATACAATTCATATTCTTCACTCAGGAAACCAACATTGACTAAACTCAAAAAAAGAAGCCACACAGACTCTTCAGCGACATATTTTTCTTAAAAACACTTTACACAAACTATTCAATTTACAATTTAAACACACCATGTTTAAAAGCTTCCTATTGGTTGATATCTAAAAGTGGAAACTGGAAACACCCACAAAAAAAGAAGAAGAGTGACAGAATCAAAGAGACCAGAAAAGAAAAATATAACCACCATCTGCTTTGCAGTTTTGCTGACTGCAAGATAAAGTCATCTAGCATGTTGTTTTTGTGTGCGGCTCTAATTCATTTCAATTCAATTCAGTTTTATTTATATAGCACCAAATCGCAACAAAAGTCGCCTCAAGGTGCTTCATAGATACAGAGAAAAACCCAACAATCATATGACCCCCTATGAGCAGCACTTTGGCGACAGTGGGAAGGAAAAACTCCCTTTTAACAGGAAGAAACCTCCAGCAGAACCAGGCTCAGGGAGGGGCGGGGCCATCTGCTGTGATTGGTTGGGGTGAGAGAAGGACTAATGTCTGATATTGTTCATTCTTTGAATCCAAGTCTATACCAGATGTTTGTTTTCCAACTTTGAGAAATGATTAAAAAGCATGAAGAGCACAATCATCATGGCATTCAGTGAACCGTGTAGGCTCTGTCTTTGAATCTGACTAAAGTCTGTGTAGGTTTTCAAATGTCTCACATTCCTTGTTTGCAAACAGCTGGAAACTGTCTTGGCAGTCACTGGGACTAAACATAGCCTGAGCAGTTATGAACAAGACTCTTTGCCTTAACTGTAACTTCCAGTTACTGTAGGTGTGCCTGGCTACAGTTTCCCATCAGATTTGCATAGTCAGAACTTCACAGCACATCTCGCCACAATTGTCAGTTTGCATGACAAACCAAATCTGGGAGTGGCTGATGCATTCATCTACATGCTGCAGAGAGGCTATACTTCCATCTAGACAGTAACAGCTGCTAGGCTTTTTTGATTTCTTAAGTGCGATTCGGCCATTTGGTGATGTCTCCATTCCCGTTCGCCTTGGATGCCTCAGACTTGGAAATACATCAGAGATGAGCAGGAGCAGGAGTACAGCACAGATTTGTTGGATTTTGTGGAGAGGTATGGGAGAAATCCCAGATGTGAATAGGCCAGAGAGATGGTGATGTTGATGTGATGTGGGGAAGTACCAGTACCTGTGGGGGGGCACTCCCACTAGGTTTAAATCTGGGACTCTCCACCATTTGACCTTAGAACTGAAGAAGCTTCTCGGATGAAGGTGAAACGTCTTCAAGCAACTTACAGAAGTCCAGATGCTTTTCTTTGCAAGCTCCACTCCGAGCATTTATCCATGTACACATGGCCAGGTTGGGCCATGATTACCTGCTGACGTCTGAGCATCAGAATGAGGAAGAAATGTGATTAAAGTCACTTTGAACGCGTCGTGATTGTTGGTGCCAGACGGGCTGGTCTGAGTAGGGGAGACCGGGGATAGTTGTAACATTTTTGACATTTCTGTCTGTAAATTGGAGCTCTTTTAAGGTAGTGGATTCAAAATGTAATGCAAAGTATTTACATGTCTCTGCTATTAAATAGTGCAGCTATTTTCTCTGCAGCACAAT